CAGCAGAGCAGTACAGCAGCGTGCAGGTGAGACAGGAATGAGTCCGTCAGAGAACAAACAGAAACACACACCCATCTATTATAAAATGTGCTAAAAATGAGTGATGCTCATCCTGATGTACCTGTACAGACTCCAGCTCTTATAGTTTATGGAGACCAGGACACTCAGCTCGGGGAAGCGTCGCTAAGCAACCTGAAGAATCTGCCCAATCACAAAGTGGTGGTAATGAAGGGGGCGGGGCATCCTTGTTATCTCGATGATCCAGAGACCTGGCATAAGGCAGTCCTGGACTTCCTACAGCTGTTGTGATCGTGTTAAAAACAGTGTAAAAGTGTACTAATCTAAACATTAATGACATAAGTGATCAATATGAAGTACGTTTAATTCCATACTTATCTGATCATGTCAAAAACACTAGCTTTTTTCTATGCAACTCTGCATTAATTGGCTTTTTGTGCTATTATTTGCAATGCTTTTCATTTTCAAGACCCAAAGTTTACATGAAATGCTGTTTGCAACCCAATTTATCTACATCTGAGTGAAAGAGGATAGTCAATGAGAAAATCACAGGGTGGGACTTGATTTTATCCATTGGGAACTGATTAGACTGTGAAAAATTGGTGTTTCTTACCAATAGAGCCATTTTTTCAAATTGTGTAGAAGGAATAATTGTTCAAAATCAGTAACACAAATCATGTATAAAAGGGAGTAAATCTTGAATTTTCTTTCTTAATTCAGAAATGGATGCAATATTCTCATGATTTTTTTTTATGCTGCCTCTCAATATACCTTTGACAATATAGTGTATTTTTTCCCAACTTTTTTATTATTTAGCTTTATCATAGTAATTTTTTGCTTTCAAAAGAGATAAATAGAAACTGCAATTTAAAAATGAATCATTGAATATACTTTAAGAACGTTTTAATAATATAATACAGTATTATGATGCTACACGTGTGAAAATAGGGACCAATGACTTCGAATCACATTTACGTGTTTATGCATCTTTAATGAGCCTCTATAACGTGTTGATTGCATCAGAAAAATAACCACTACACAATGCACTGAAGTGAAAAATATGAACATTATTTAATAACTGATTCTCTGTAATAAACAATTTGAAAATATTTTACAAGGAGTCACAGACACAATATTTTACAAATTTTCTTTTTTTAGTTGTCTGTACAAAAAAATGGAGCAACATGGACCCAGAGACGAGGCACTGAGCCCCCAACACACAATCCAATAAACCAACGAAAGAAAAACGCTCACCATGATTTCAGACCTCAACTCATGAGTATTATCAGCAGTACTGTTTCTATTTTTTTTTTAATCGTTAATACATTTTAAAACCTCACTCATGTTAAATTCAGTTTTTCCTTTGTATGTTTTTTTTAAATATATATTTTTTTGTACACATTTGTCACGGAGCACCAGACTAAAGACTACGTAATCACATACACACGTCTCACTGATGGAAACGCGCCTACAATGATGTTGCTTTGGAGGGGGAGGGGCTAGGGAGGGTCTGAGCTAATGACTCCTCCCAGTGGGTGGGTTATACATCAGGCCCCTCCCTGTGCGCAAGCTGCTTCCTCTTTTTAGCTTTTCTTTTTGAATACTATTTTTTTCTCTTTTATTTTTTGGCAAAAGCAAATCTTTCAGACCACTTAAAAACAAGGACTTTTGTTCCACAGTGTACTTGGAATTGGGACACAAGACCGACACATTCATGATCATTTAATCGCAGTGTCTTGCCAAAATGCGTTTCCCTAATTAGGGCAGTTCAGTGCCCCTGTACATCGACAGTGTTCCATTTTTAAGACAATTACACACTTTTCCCCCCAAAATAAAATACAAGAATTAAAAAAAAAAAAAAAGTGTGGCAAAGTTTTAAAACAACTCACCAGAATAAAGAACAAGGCATATTTCCACTTTTCGGAGCGCTCTTTGCCCTGATATGAAATAAAATTGCAGATTGTTTCCATAATCAGGCAAAGAAAGAGGTACACATTAGCCATTTAACATGTTTCAACATTAAAATTGTGAGTTAGAGGGATAGTTCACCCAGAAATTAAGATTATGTCATCATTTACTCACTCTCATGTCATTACGAACCATTTTTTTATGAATAACTTAAATTCTTCTCAGTGATTTGTAATATAGTTCACAAGACATATGGACAAGCTTTATGATATTTTTTTTGAGCATTTATGTCCTTTTAAGAGCTTGAAATCCCCCGGTTGCTATATTTTTATGGTTTATATGAAAACACTTATATTTTGCCTATTATTGGGTTTGGAAAAACTTGAGGGTAAGTAAATGATATTTTATTTTTGGGTGACTTATCCCCTTAAACTTCGCACATCACACTGAAGCTTAAACAGTCTTTTTAAAACTATTTTTTTGTTTGTTTGTTTTTTGTCTTATTACAGTACCACATATGACCTTGCATTTATATTTCAGAAATTGGGTTTTTCCATTTCTATGTCTCAGTGGGGTCTAAAATATATATTCATACTGTAGATGGATTCTGGGTTATAAACAGGAGTCATATGTGATAGTGTCAGGATGAGGATTGCATTCAAGTTCAAATATTAGTGATATGTACAGTCCACTGAATGAAGCTTAACATATATATTTAAATTTTCTCTATAACCAATTAGTTCTGAAGGTGGATGACAAACAAACCAAGTGGCGTAAGATTTTCGTGTCCACTAGCATCACACATGCATGTTCACCTCTCAAATAAGGCGAGTATAAAATACATGACATCCTGACAGAAAATAAATAATAGTTCACCCAAAATGAATTCTCATTTACTCTACCCGTGTGTTGTATGAGTTTCTTTCATTCATAAAACAAATGGAGATGTCCTTTCCATACATTTGTTTCCTACAGATGAAAGAATGTCATACAGGTCTGGAATGACATGAGGGTGAATTAATGATACATTTCGGGTGAACTAACTCTTTTAAACAGACAGATAGAGGGAATGTTTAACATGTTAAGTGATGTCTTTTAAAACGGCACAGGCGTCTAAAACAGGCTTTAATAGATTTTGCCTCAAGACAGACAGATATGTAACATTCGTTTGACACAGATCATTCCTTCAACACCAACAACTGACAATACTCTCAAAATACTTCTCATAAGATCATCTATTTTCAGTTATTTCACATAACGGCAAACACAGATTCAACTCCTCAACCATCAGCAAACCTCAAATAAACTCGCTCTATTTACCGGACAAATAAACTACAGCAGTAAAGCCATTCCCAGATTGTGAAGCCAGAGATGGACTGAGGTTAGAGCAGTCAGTTCAAACCCAACACCTACTTTACCAAAACTCAGTAGCAACTAGGACTGAATGCGTGAGAAGCTCTTACAAAGACAATCCTAAAAACGAGGGGCCGTTTTTAAAAAGTCTTGCCAGGGAGCTTTAAAGGAGCACTGAAGGTGATGGTGACTAAAATGCCAAACGTGCAACTGAGAATCAGTCAGAGGTTCAGATTTAGCTCCGTTTGTTGACTAAATAAATGCATAAGGTGCTTGTCATAACTGAAGGTTATGGCAAACACTGCAGCTCAATAATACTCTAAATGTAAAAAATAAATTGCATTCCCTTATATCAGTCAGGTGACTATGTTTGGAGGCACTGGCTGTGTTCAGAATAGCATACTAACCATACTGTATGCACATTGCACATAGTATGCAGGTTTTCCAGATGTATAGAATACTTGATGAGCAACTACATTTGTCATAATATGCATTACAATACATGCAATACTGAATACAGTATCCCACAATGCAATGCACTCAACTTGACCTGCCATTTCCAATGTGATGAATGACCGGAAGCAATATCAACTGTGATTATCTACTATTTCACTCTTGACTTGATTATTTAACCAGACATTTTTACACAAACTTTGGTAAAATAACCATTTTTCTTAATTGGCCGAGGCTAAACATGGTAAATATTGTATTGATGTGACCAGAACAAAGCACAAAAATGTTCATTAGTGAATATTAATGAGTATTTTTTTTTAAAAATAGTATGAAGAATATAGTATGCAGTATGATAGTATTCTATGTCGAACACAACCTGTGAGTTTTAAGGCCCATGAAAGACTTTTACTGCACTAAACTGACTGATAGCGAAGCTGTCCAATATAAAAGTGCATCAAGGCACAGCTAAAACAAGGTCGATGCAGGGCCCAAAACAAGGGATTTTGCTTAAGTTTCATCGCATTATTAACATTTCAACATAAGATATAATGTCATGACTGATACCGAGGCCTGAAACATACTCAAGTATGCAAGCAGATGCAAATGCTTGAATTGCATCAACGCATTATCGAACATTTAATCCAGCCTACATATCTACAGTAGATATGTTTTGGCCCTTATGTATATATGAAAAATAAAACATTTCTCTTCTACATGAATGATCATATTGACTAGGATCATGGTTACTATTACTATTCACAGACAAGTCCATCAGTGCAAATAATGGCGCAAACAAACAGCATGTGTTGTGATGTGATCAGATGCAATATATGATTGACACTCTGAGATTGTGAAAAACTGTACAGCACAGAATTACAGAGACTGCAAACAGATATCATCGCTAAAAACACTCAAACTGCATTTAAATCCATCAAAAATCTCTTCATTATCACATCTCATCTTATTTAAAGGAACAGTTCACCTAAATATGTTCCATTCAATAACACTTCACAGTGACCCCTCATGCTCCAAAAGAGAAATAAAAGTAGTCCATATGATTTATATGCGATATTCCAAGTCTTCCGAAGCCATACAATAGCTTTTGGTGTAAACTATCATATGACTTTAGAAAACCTAATACAGATTGCTTTTGTGGGACTTTTATGGAACTTTTTTTTTTTGAGCTGGAAATCATGGTCACTAACCTGATTCTTAAAAAAAATTCTCATTTGGTGAAAAACTAACAGCATATGGGTTTGGAATAAATAAATGAATGATAAAATTACACTTTTTTAGGTGAACTAGTCCTTTAAAAATGCACACATGCTATTACATATTAGCTGCAAATATTATATTACTGAGGCATTAATATAGTTTACCTTGTGATAAAAATAATAAACACAAATAAAAAGCCTAACCTAATCGGATCAGGGTTGTGATATAAATAGAAATAATAATTCTATGAAGCCCTTGTGACTGATGAAGGAATGGTGTGATACCTCTTTAATTTCTCTACTTTCTTTTTCTGTGGTTTTCTTACCTCCTAATTTGGCTAGAAAAATTTGACCACACAACAAGTCTCATTTTGGCAAGAAGTAGATATAGTGCATAAATAAACAAAAGATAATTGAATAAATATCATCTATCGTCTTCTCTTTCTCGTTAAATACCCTAATATATGGAGGCATGATTTTAATACTCACATGTTGTTATTGATATTTTTTGGGAATCGCTTAAAGTTCTGCTCTTATTCGGTTATTTTCTTATTACCGGAAGCTAGATGGCGTCAGAACGCCCCGTAGCCTCGCGACACGGGTTACAGGATGAAGATGAGGATGACCTTTCCCCTTTAGAGGTGGAGTCAAACGAAACCCGACCCCCTTTCGGCCGCAAGGGCAGGAGGGAACAGTCTGTGTCAGTTTCCACCATTTCTTCGTTGGTCCAAGATGGCCGTCGGTGTTCACATCGCTAGCTTCCTGTTTTCGTAAAGACACTTTAAGCTCCTCCCACAAATGCTCTTGATTGGCAGGAGACGACAAAGTTCTGCAACGGTCACTAAGCAACAACCTGTGAAGCTAAGTGGATGAAGCAGTACGACTGGGCTTCCGTATAAGGGCAGGAGGAAGTCCCTTTATATTACCTATGACTAGAGCAATGGGGAGATAAAGGAGAAATTAAGGCGACGAGAAGGAGGGAGAGGAGGACAGGAGGATGGAGTTAAACAGAGGGGCGGGCCAGAACACACAGGAGGAGGAGCTGGAGGAGGAGTAAGGTGAGGAGGGAGGGACGGAACGAGTGACCCCGCCCACAGTCTGATGTGTTCTCCTGTAAGGAAGACAGAGAAACGTGCGCTTTGGTTTATTAATGCGCTATTAATGTTCTGATGTGTTTAAATGCAGAATTGTGAAACTCGTATTTGTTTAGGCACTTATTCTAAGTCTAATTATTCTTCAGTCAAAAATATACGTCGTGGTTATGCATTACTGATGTTATTCTTGTGGGCGGAGTTTACAGAGCTCATTATGCCATCCATAGACATTCAATTGTAAATATTCTGGAATATTTCTTTGAATAAACAAGTGGAAATGTGCATGTGTACTTACTAAAACACTGTAGTCGAAACAGTTCGTGGTTCCTTTTCTATACCGGGCTGTGGCTATTGTCTCGCATGTATTCGTTTCTTTATCTGAGAAACAGAGGGCGTTAAGGAACATCTTTTTAGCAAATTTGGGGTTAGCACGTTTTTTATGTCTTATATGTTTGTTCAGGAAGAAGGCATTACTTTGATCGAAAGTGACAGTGAAGACATTTATATTGTTACAGAATGTTCCTATTGCAAATAAACGCTGTTCTTTTGAACTTTCTATTCATCAATAAATCCTAAAAAAACAATTTATCACAGTTTATACAAAAAATATGAAGCAGCACAACTGTTTTAAACACTGATAAAAAGAAATGTTGCTTGAGCATCAAATCAGCATATTAGAAGGATTTCTGAAGATCATGTGACATTGAAGACTGGAGTAATGATGCTGAAAATTCAGCTTTGATCACAGCAATCAATTACATTTTAACATATATTACAATAGAAAACAGTTATTATATTAGTACACATTTAAGTTGTTTTGTATTTTTGATCAAATAAATGCATCCATCCCCAAACCTTTGAACAGCAGTGTACATTGCATCAAATTAAAACCTATGCAAGAAATGCATGTTTATGGCAAAGGATACATTCTGTCTCCACCTGAGACAGTTTCTCTATTTCACAGGAGTCGCAGGACAGTTTTTCAGCCACCACAAACAGCAGGTTGGTGTTGTTTATTCTCCTAGCATGAATTAACCTGTAAAACAGACACATTATTATTAAAAACAGCCTGTAGTCTGTATATATGTGATGTATACTGCCTGCATGACTGCCGTGGGTCTGACCTGGAGCAGTTGTCACAGTCCTGCAGTATGTTGTAGGAGCTGCTGATGTTACTGAAGTAAAACTGTGTCTGTACCGTCACACAGCTGGTCGCTCTAGACTCCAGTCCTTCAGCATCCACCTCATCTGCATTCACACACACACACACACACACGTTAAATTAGTCTTCTTATTGATTTACTTAAACAATGACCTTTTAAAATCGAAGTAAACGTCACACACCTGTCATGAACCAGCTCTGATAGGCAAACCCATACAGCATCTGCTGCAGCAGTGACCTATAGAGGACAACACACACACACACACACACACACACACACACACTCCTGAGTGTGAGCACATGATGTCTGCACATGTTTAAAAGCTACTACATCATTGAGCTCAGTCATTATAATTGACTCACCAGGCAGCTGCTGACGTCCACCAGGCAACATTTAACACATCAGCAATAGTAGGCTGAGAGGAAACACATGACAATGATCATGCCACAGTTCATCATCCGTCCAAATACACACATCTCTTTATCATCTTTCCATTTATTCATCCCTCAATCCAATTCAGTCAGTTATTTTAGTATTATTTATATACTATTATAGTAATTATTAATATTTTGAATTACTTTTTATTATAAAAAATAATTATTACTATTATTAATTTTAGTTAAAGTAATTTCATTGTGCGTTTTGTCATTTTAATTAGTTTTTTAGTTCTATTTAGTTTCAATTTTTTTTATTTCAGTTTCAATTTGAGTAATTTTTACTTATTTTACTTCAGTTAATTGCTCATCCAGAATGTTCAGTTTAAGTTTGTTTTTCCAAATATATATTTCAGCTTTATTTCAGTGAATGAAAATGACTTTTAATAGTTGTAATTTTACTTAACAATAACACAGCATTGTGTAAACCAATCCAATTGCAGATTTCGAATGTATTGTTTATATGCAATGATTCAAATATTAATTGCATGTGCATTATATCCATCACAAGCAAAACATAAGTGCATGCACATGCACAGTGCATAAGAATAGCTGATATCCAAAATATGCTGGAAAAGCTTTTTAGCAAATATTTAGCAAGTAAAGACATTTAGATTTACATATTGACGTATTGCGTTTCCTTTAATTAATTCCCTATATTTTCTTTACTTGGTCTTAAATTTAGCTTCAGAAAAACTGCAGAAACCCTGGCACTGCACATGTGCGAAAAGTGTTTATGAATTCAATTACAATAGTAGTCAGGGTTAAAAGTTTAACATAGCTAATATTTTCATATTTAACGTATCGTTTAAAATCAATACCAGCCGATTGAGATTCAAATCGTATTATTAGGATGCATGTAAGCGTAGGCATTACTCGTACCACAAACACTCTTCGCGGGGCGGCCCCTGTGTTGCTGCTGGGTACCGGGTCACACACCGACTGATAGTCGTAAGACTGCTTGCGTTTGTAGAAGGAGTTGTTATAGAGGGCGTAAAAGAGGGTGGCATCGACCTCGCCGAAGAACATCCCGATCTACAGACAGAAGAGGAAGAGCATAGCGTGAAAAACAACAGCAAAAACGGTCTGTTTTCACATCACTGTTTTCCTGTTGAACATCCTGACCTTATTCAAGTAGTCTTTCTGATTGGACATGACGAGGAAGCCGCCGTCATCTATCAGATAGCAAAGCAAGTCCTGCGAAGAAAGACGGATGGCTTTAAGTAAACGCATCACGTCATTAATCAGTCATTTTAATGGAAAATCACTAGATCAATCGACAAATTCTGAAAAGAGGGATGGATGTGAATGTATGGATGTGTGCTATAGATCTCAGTATTGACTGATCTGAGTGCATTAAGAGTCTCTTACATCACTGTTGGCTTCACAGTCCATTTCACAGCCACTGGTGGGTCCACACTGTCAGACAGAAGCAACAGTATTAGAGCAGCTTGTGTATAGGCATACCTATATAGAAGAATGTGTGTATTTTACCGTTTGAGAGCTCTGTCGGTTGCTGTTGGTGTGGTTGCTCGCCAGGATCTTGAATTTGTCTGTCCATGCCTCAAGATCAAGCTTCACACCCAGAACTAAGAGAATGCGAGACAGAAACAGCATGAGAAAGAGAAACCCTAAAACCTTTATGGTCTTTACCATTTCAGCATTTTCCACCTATCTTACAATTACAATGCTTTTGCAGCTGTTCCCTTTACATAAAAAATAACTGTGATAATGTGAAATATTATTACAATTTAAAATAGTTTTCTGTTTTGATATACTTTAAAATATAATTTGTCTGTGATGCAAAGCTGATTTACTCCAATCTCCAGTGCCACATGATCCTTCAGAAATCATTCTAATATGCGGATTTATTATCAATGTTGGAAAAAATTTAGCTGCTTAATATTTTTTTTTGGAACCAAGGATTTCAGGATTCTTTGATTAATAAAAAGTTCAAAAGAACAGCAGTTATTCAAAATAGAAATCTTTTATCAACAATAATAATACAATACAATAATAAAAAGATTAATAAAATAGTGTATAACATACATACTTATGCCATACAGCGCAAAGCATTTCTGATTTGTTTAATTTTCAACCTAATCTGTGTTGTCATCTACATATGTTAACTTTGGTGACACATTTACATCAACATAATTCAGGTTGACTTTTCAACAATGTTCAGAGCAGAATATGTCATTCTTCTAAAGCCAGATGCATAAAGCAGCACTTATCTCTGCTAATCCTCATGTCAGGTAATCCTAACGTAACGGGATGATCATGAGCTCAGAGAGGAAGCACAGCATATCACTGTCGATTTGTAGAGGTTTAAGTCAAATATGGCTAAATGTCTCTGGATATATTGTATTGAGAGAGCTCATGTATTCAAACACAGCTGCTGACCGTCTATTAGTTATGATGAAGTTCTTAACATATTGATTTATCATCTCAAATCCCACATTTGATCTTGCCTTCATTTGTGCACGTAAACGTGCCATTTGTCTGATTGAAAGGGCCTCCATGTGGACCCTATCTGTTGTTCATACTAATAACACTCAAATAATTCCAGTTTGTCACCAGACAATTCGTTTCTCCCAGAGAGGCAGACATCTGCACGAGTCACATACGGTGAACGTGAAGTTGCGTTTTACCTGCAGGTTTCAGGTTTTTGTTTCCTATGGTCACCTCCACTGCAGTGCTAACCAGAATGCCGATGGTGTCGTTCTCTGGATTCAGTATGGATTCATCATTGGCTGGACAACAAAACAAAACAAAAAAAAGCAGCTCTTGAAAACTATTAAACCAGAAAATGAATATTATATAAATGATACTGTAATTCCTAAAACAATTCTAATTGGATGAGCTGAGTTTGGTAAATTAATCAAAGAATGGAAGAGTAGTGTATTCTGCTAATTAATTATATTCCGATTATATATTTTATTATATATAAAAAATATAATTAATAAAATATAATGTAAAGTAAAGCATATATTAATATTCAAATATATATATATATATATCTAAAAACAGTATATATATATATATATAATTATAAATTATATTTAATTATAATTAATATTTATACAAATTATTTTTACTTCAATATTTTTTTCTTCAAATTAAATATATTATTTCAATGACACTTTACATTGTGAAAACATTGCCTCAGAGATCATTATATGAGGGTATAGAGTGTGCAGTCATGTGCTGTGTTTCTCTCTCACCGGTGCGGTAGGGGGCTCTGAACATGTAGCCCTTGTTGTCCAGACTGCGACGGTAATAACTAGCAATAAATGGCTCTGGATCTTCCTCCCAGGTCTCATAGGCCCTGATGTACAAACACACACACACACACACCTTTACAGCTATTTGAAACAACACAGTGACAAATAAAAGAAAAAGAACAAGACTCACTTATTAGGGAAAACTCGAGTGACGCCTCCATCTGTGGCTGCAAAGACCGCCATAAAGCCGTACCTACAGCATCATAACACACATACTCATTCACATTTATCACTAGCTCTAGGTTAATGCCTCATACACGTGTCAGTCTACTAATGAATGGGAGGAATTTCAGTGGTTCTTCCTGAATATGAACGTACGTGTTGAGGTCCTTGTTCTTCCAGACTTTATCTACCAGCTCTTTAATGATGCCCGTGTCCAAGATCAGATTATGCAGCAAGAAATTGTCACCTGTGTGGAATAATGATGATAATATTATGACATATGAGCTGATATCTTCAAACAAGATGGTTTTGAGTTCAAGAATTGTCAAAGAGAGAGTCAGAATGTCAATTACAGTCAGTGTTGTTACTGTTATATATATTTGGTGAATGAAATAAAGTCAAAATAAGTATAGAATATAAAATTTAAATATGACATGAAAACCTTAAACGTAAATAAGCTTCTAAATTAGGAAATTAGAAATGTTACCTTGGCAACTAACTGAAATAAGTTGAAATAATAAAATGACTAAAATTTAAATAAAATGACAAATTAATAAAAAAATTTAAAGCAATAAAAATGACAAAAGCGCATAAGAAAATTACTAAAACTTCTATACATGCTTGACATACTCTGTATTACAGTATAATTATGTATCGAGTATGTTTTTTAATTTATTGATTACGTTTTTTAATGCATTTTAAATTTAGCTTGTTTAATTTGATAAATTTTTTAATTATTATTTAAATATTTTTTATAAATTAAGCAAAAACAAACAAACAAACAAAACAAAACAAAACAAAACAAGAAAATTACTAAAACTTAAATTCAAATAAAAACTACCTTTAAAAAAAAGAACTGCTTTATTAATGCTTCAAGGTTGTCTCAGCTGGTCTTATAGCGCAGTGTTCTAGCGAAAACCCACAGACCTGTTCAGACCAGCATGGCTGGTTTAAGATGTTCTTTTTAGCAGGAACATATGACATTTGGATAACACTCAACTGATTGTGCAATGAAAATTACTGACAGAATGTACTTTAAAATGGAACAAAGTCGTTGAATAATTCACTCAAAATCTGTGAGCCTCACATTGTTTGGAGTCCGGCGTGACCTTCTCCATCAGAGCGATGAAGTTGAGCAGGAACTCGGTGTTGTTGTTAGACAGCTCCAGGTCTTTGCAGTATTCCCTGAGGAAAACACACATCATTCCACACTGGAAAACTCTCTCTGCTAAAGATTAACATCATAAACAGACTGTAAACCCTTAACAGACAGTCAGAGTTTTGCACTGACCAATATTTCACATTCATGTAAACATCTTAAACACACAAAACACCACAATGACATACATAAAACATAACTGCAGTGCAAAAATTATTCTTAACCAGTATCTTTGTCTGGTTTTCCAGTAAAAATACCTAAACATCCTTAAAACAAGACAAATCTAACAGAGTAACACTGCAGTGCATTTGGTCTAAAACATACACTGTATAAAAGCTGGAAGTTGTAAACAAAACAAACACTACTTCTAAAGGAAACACTATTTCAGTTTTTCTACTTTAAAATTTCATGCGCAATTCAATGTGTTATTTGCAGTTCTGTAATTATTTGTGAAATTGCAATCTGTGAGTGAAAATTGTTTTAAAGTAAATCCTACACTTTTTTCCACTTAATGCAACTTAATTTAAGACAAGTCATAATTATTGCAATTTTGCTTCTCAGGTAAATTCATCTTGTTCAGGGATGTTTAGATGTTTTTACTGGAAAACATAACAAAACTACTGACTAAGAACATGATTTTGGAGTGTATATGCTTTATAAACACAGAGAGAAAGATGATCATTCATAGACTCATGCACGTGAACTTCTCTAGATCCATGCAAACCAAAGTCAACCTTCCCCTTGATACTGATGCCGTATGTAAGGAAGTGAGGAGAACGCCATGCACACACAGACACAGAGGAGACGCGTGAGAGCTGCAGCGATGAGATGTGGAGAGAATCTACTGAACGTCAGAAGATACAGATCCATGAGAGCAGACGACAATGATTCAAACACAGAGTTACCCAGAGGAATATATACTGCTCAGCTTGCATAGCATGGCTTTCAGATACGCTTCAAGTATGAACTTTATCTTTGTGTGCCTTTAAATTGTTTAGGAAAAATACAAAGTTGATGTACAGTTAGAGTACAGAGCTATAAAAATGAGCATGGCATAGAGGAACATTTGAGTTTATTTTAAAATTACAGTAACTCTGAAACTAAAGGAGACATGTGTGATTATGTAAGATTATTGATGTCTTTTTCTCAGGTTAAAAATATAAAAAGCAGGAGTTTTCCAGGTTCGAAACAAATTATGCTTTATCAGCAGCTTTCTCATTACCACAGACAATATGATCAACTTGTCGCTCAAGTTTGTAAAAACAAACAAAAATCACATTTATAATAATATATTAAGAATGGTTTAAAAAAGTTTATCAGGCCAGACATTGCATTGCATTGTAAGGTTTGCTACCATTGTAATTTACAACTACACCTAAAAAATAATTTTTCAAAGTGATAAAATGAGTATGTTTTATAAGAAAATACTATCTCAGTGTTTCTACTTCAAAGTTTCACATGTAATGTTACTTGCCTTTTTTCATTATTTGTCAAATTTACTATCAGTTTTTTCTATTTTGTCAAAGTACTCATTTAACACAGTATTTAAAAGTATTTAATAGAGCACATAGGCTACTAGATAACTAGAAGAAATAAAATAGACCCTTCTGAATACAGTATCTGGGCTGGCGCTGGTTCCACTGTCAGTGAAATACTGTACACATATTGCTTGTTTATATAAACAGAGCAAAACAATTTTCTGTGGAAATCAAGCTTTACAGTTTTAAAAACAAAGGTTCCTTTTTCTTTTTTTGTCAGTGCCTTTAAAGGAAGTTCTCACCCTCAGGCCACCAAAATATAGATGAGTTTGTTTCTTAATCCACACCACTCCAGTTTATCAATTAACGTCTTGTGAAGTGAAAGGCTAAGAAATAAATCCATCAAGTTTTTTAACTTCAAACTGTGGTGTCCAACTAAAATACCACAATCCACAGTCCATAATCCATAAAAACGGTTCCTCCGGTAAAAAAGTCATCTCGTCTGAATCAGGAGAGAAATATGCACAGATCAAGCACCATTTACATCCGAATACATTCCAAAACAGTTCTAAATAAATATGTCAGTGGATTTTAATGCGAGAGAACAACAGGGAATGGATTTTTTTTACTGAAGGAAGTGTTATTATGGATTATGGACTCGTATTTTGGCCAGAAGCGACGGTTTAAAGTTAAAACACCTTAATGATGAATTACTTTCTTATTTCATAAGACATTAACTGATGGACTGGAGTGGTGTGGATTACTTGTGGATTATTGTGATGTTTTTATCAGCTGTTTGGACTCTCATTCTGACGGCACCCATTCACTGCAGAGCATCTACTGGTGAGCAAGAGATGCAATGCTACATTTCTCCAAATCTGTTACCATGAGGAAACAAACTCATCTACATCTTGGATGGCCTGAAGGAGAGTCCAGCAAATTTTCATTTTTGGGTGAACTAATCCTTTAAAGAACCATTTTGGTTCCCCAAAGAAGCATTCAGCAAACAGGAACCATTTTTCTTAGTATGAAGAACATGTTAAAAATCCAAAGAACCTTTTTTACCACTATAAAGTACCTTTTGTTGCACAGAAAGATTCCACGGATGTTGAAGCTTCTTCATGGAACCATCAATGCCAATAAAGAACCTTTATTTTTAAGAGTGTACATGTGATGAACCCAGAACACTATAAGTCTCCATTTGCTCTTAATGCGGTCTAGGAGATATTAACAAGATTTTTCTTTCCTACGGGAGACGGCGAGGAGTCTCGACAGACAAAACACAACAAATAAACATCCACTTGGGTTAAAATGGACAGACATGTTACGCACAGCACACACACAGAGTCTACAGTGACTACGGTATGTTGAAAAGGAAGTTAGCGATGGACGTATGCACAAAACAGGAACGTGGCTTCAAGAAGACACACACAGCTACCTGGGGGCAATGAACACATGTCCCTCTGACTCAAAAGTGTTTGGCAGGAGAGACTCAAAATCTGCAACAGAAACGGGCAAGATTATCCAGGGGAAGCGGAGGACGGAGAACACAGGGAGGCTTCTGAGAAACAAATGAACATCAGCTGCTCTTCAAAAAGTGTTACCATAGCAACACTGAGGAATCATGGGGGGATACCAGCGTTAGCCACTATGGTGCCTTCAATGGAGTCGCATTGGCCGAAATAATGGGCTAATTTGGAAAGCAGACACTTTTAGCTCAATTCGAATTTCGTCCGAATTTTTTTCTTTTGCAAGTCGGAGAACTGGCTTGCCCCTCGGGATACACACTGAGACGAAGCGAGTTCTCCGACGCCGTTCCCACGAACCGCGTGGCGTGCCGCTTTCTTTTTCAACAGGCATCAACATGGCCAACCGTTTAGCTGGGAGTGGGTGAGGCAGGGGTCCTGATGGAGGTGATCGCCCCTCAGACTGGCACCGCAGAGCCACTCCAGAGACTCAATTGGAGAAAGTACCCAGCATTGTGGACGAGAAGAGAGAGGGCAACCCAGTTTGATCTACTACACACTATCCTCATGTTATTCATCACACCGTCCTGCATCATATCTACTGAATGAGATCCTGATTTCAGGGTGCCGATTCCAAAAATAGTGCCTGTTTTGCTTCAGCATGTGACACTTTCTTGCAAAATATGATGCATTTTGTAGCATTTTTGCTTTTGACAAGCATTTGTAAGGTGAAGAAGACCTTAATCAACAGACAAAAGACAACTCCCATCTTACAACTTATTGTTCAATTCTCAGTAAATTTTCACATGTATTACATTATTTTATGGCTAATCCTGATTTCAGGGTTAGAATTATGGCCAGTGGCAGAAGAAAATGCAAACATGAGCCAGATGTGCGGGTGTTTTACTATATCCAAACTATGACAGATTATGTGAAAAAGCTCATGTTCTTTGATATCAAATTAAGTATTTGAACATATTTCTCCACTCCTTTGCATACTGTAAGTTAAATGATACATTTTTAATACTTATTTTTGTCATTAAAACAGAAGCATTTGACTGTATTTATATATAGTATGAAAAAAAAAACTATGTGATTTTTATTGATATGTTGAACTCAGCATCATCAAATTAGGTAATATTAGGCTTTTTTTGCAAATCAGCATAATTTGTTTTCAGGATGCAGGGCTGTGTTGTTTATGACTTGATATTTGACAAATAATGATGTAAAGAAAGTATACAAGCAGCAAATGTTGCATATATGTGTGTATACATGTACATTTTTGTATTCAATAAATGTCCATGTGAATATATGTACCCAAATAAATATCTACGGTAATATATGTATCACTGTTGTGCCCAGGTAGTTTTTCCCTCCACACTGTCTTGCACTTCCAGGTCAGGATAAGTGAAGATGCAGCGGAGCGTCTGCGGTGGCAGTCTGGGGGGTGATAGATGTACAGAGGGGTCAAGCTGATGAGAACACAGGGTGTAAGAGGAGGACGACAAACAAACCGGGCGCTGCCAAGTGCTCCATCACCAAAACAACAAGACCTAAAGGAGGCCATCTAGCAAATTCATCTGTAACCTATTCCTGTCCATTCCAAAACATTATACGAATAGTAAGAGACAACCTAAGGGAATAAACTGGCTGGCTAAACTAAAGACAACATTGCATGATAATAGACATCTTTAAGTCTTTAAGTGTTAGAGGCTAACAAATGGCAAACATTTCTGCTCAATATTTAAGATTTAATGCAAGAGATTGGACAAAAATAAAAATTCAAGATCATTTATTCACCCTCAAACCTATGTGGTGCACAACAGGAAATGTTTTGGAGGATGTTCAAGCTGCTCTTTTCTATTCAGTGAAAGCATATAGTGATCAAGGGCACATTGTAACTGTTAACTAAAACTAGTAGCCACATTTTAATCCAGACTAAAAAGTGTTTAGCTGTGCATTTACTGTATTACTACTGATTGCACTGTAACATAACGTATTTATGTTTTTTTTTCTCTTTTATTCTTATTTGTTTTTATTACTTTTTAGTACATTTAAAAAAAAAATATTGTCAATTTTTATTATTTCTCATGCATGTTATGATTATTTTAAATTTCTGTTATTTTTAATTCCTTTGTAAACCACTTAGAATTACCATTGCATATGAAATACCCTAATAAATAAAAGTACCTTGGCTTAAAACTCAAACTATTTCAAATGTCTTTGTTCATTTAAATAGAGCTGAAATAAAATAAAATATATATTGAAATACTGAGATTACTAAAGCTAAATTAAAGCTGAATATAAATATTTAAAAAACAAACCAAAAATGAATAAAAATGACAAAAGCACATTAACAAAGTGACTTATCTTAAACTAAAATGAAAATGAACATATAAAAAAGGAACGTATAAAAATTAAAATATATATTAAAAAAACAATTAAAACATGAAGAAATACTAAAATAGTATATAAATAATACTAAACTAATGCCTAAAAAATTACCATAATAGAGGTCCATGTCACTTTTGAGTTATATTCAAGTTTTGTTTTTGTTTTTCTCATATGATGCTTTTGTGGGTAATGAAATTTTAAATAACTGATTATTAAAAAGTCTTAATGATTTTGGTTGGTTCTTCACACAGAGCTTTTATATTGCTTTAAAAGACTTGGAACATAGCACACAAGAATGAACTATGTTTTGGAATACATTTACGGTGCTTTTTAATATTTCTGGATATTGACAGGCACTATATACTTTTGTTGAATTAAATAGAGCAGCATGAAAATTCTGCAAAAGACATTATTTTGTGTTTAATGGAAGAAAGTCAGTCAAATGATTTTGGAACAAAATGAGGGAGAGTAAATGATGAGTTTTCCTTTTTTGGTAAACATTTCAGAACAAACAGACAATGATATGCTACACTCAAAGTGCAAACATAACCTCTCAATAACGACCACAATAAGTTCATATTTGTACCTCCGTAATAATAACTTGTATTAGTGAGAGTCTAAAGTTTACTTTAGGGATGCTTTCAAACTAAATACTGCATTACATGACTAGAGTAGGACTTTTACTAGCAAATGCACCAATCTGAGGATTTAACACTGTCACTGAGGAATAAAGAGGGGAGGAGGAGAAGAAGACAGATGGAGGAGAATATTCCCAAACATAATGGACACAGGGATCAGAAGTACGTTTGACAGTGAGAGAAAGATCATATTTTATTCTTCTTCAGGAGATGTCAGGGAGAGACCTTAAAGGCTGTCCGAGCCGAGAAAGAGAGAGAGAGAGAGAGATAAAGAGAGAATTTGAAAAGGAGAAAGATGTGGGTGTAGGCCGCAGCAAGAGGGTGAGTGGGTGAGTGAGGGAGTGAGGAAGAGGAGGAGAGAGAGGAAGAGGAGGGTCTTGAAGGCAAGGCGGGCAGGAGGAACAGAGGAGGCAAGCAGGCTGGAACAGGTGGAGGTGGGCGTCAGCGGGGAGTTCAGGACAAGGGTACGAGGAAGGAAGTAGAGTAACAAAGGTAGTGGACCAATATGGTGAATACTTGCCCTTGAAGACTGATCCGTCTGAGGAGGAGAGAGCAGAAAAGAAACAGGGGGGACGGGTAAGGGGAGGAGGGGGGTCACAGACAATATTTTATTCAATGACTGTTTGAATAAAAATATTGTTTTTCTCAAAAGAAGGAAAATCAAGTCAGTCAAAACAGTAATGAACAACTGAGAACAGGAAACCAAAATGAATGACACGTCGCAAAGAATATAACAACAAGAAGACGGAGGCAGGGAATGAACTCCACGAGGATGGAGACGAGGAGAGAACATCTGAGGACACGTGAGCAGAATCAGAACTAATGAACCTTCACCGCATGACGAAACATGGAGAAAAATTATGTCACAAAATGAGAATCACATATGAGCTAGGAAGAGAGGAACGCTTTGGAAATAAAAAGATAGATAGAAAGAAAGAAAGAAAGAAAGAAAGAACTACATTTTAAACCAAAGAGGAATGAAAGCATAAACAAAATGAAACAAAAATAAAATGAATGAAAGAATGAACTTCAGACTTAATGAATGAATAAATAAATAAACAAAAGAAAAACACACAACAAAAGACAATAAAAAGAATAAATTAAATATATAAAAAACAATATCTAAAACCAAAAAGAATGAATATAACGTGAAAGAACTAAAATTAAACTAAAGAACAAATTACAGAAAGAAAGAGGGGAGAACTATAAGAGATATAAATGATTTAAATGAAAAAGATGGAAGAATGAACAAAAGAGAAACAAACAAATAAGAGAGAATGAAAGAATGGCACAAAAGAACAAGGATCAAACCAAGGAGGAGCAAAAGCAATAAAAACAAAATAAAAAAATGAACGAAATAATGAACAAGTGAAAAATACACAAAAACAGGCTGAAGAAAAAGAACGAAAGAACAAACTAGGGATCAAATGAACAAACAAAAAACAACAAAAATGCAAGCAAAAGTCATAGAATGAAAGATCAAATGAGCAACATCAAAGGAAAAGCAGAAAAAACAACTAAAGATCAAACAAAAGAACTAAAGAACAAATAAAACAGAAATAAAAAACAAATGGAAGAGAATAAACAACATATGAAACACACAAATAAACAATAGAGATTGACTACAATCAACAAATGACCTAAAGATCAAATGAATGAACTAAATACAACATAAATAAACAAAGAACAAAGAAAAACAAACAAAAAACAAGGAAAGAAAGGAAAACCAAAGGCGTTCCATCTCCCGTGCGGGACAATGGCCCGTCAGGGGGCATTGTGGGATACTTTTTTCTTATTTATTGACTGATTCCAAAGCTGCCGGCAAACAATACAGAACAGTGAGCATCCACATGAATCAAAGCAAATAATAAACACGACAGAACACATAAAGCACACAGTGAAAAGCAAAAGCATGCCTCTTTTCACAACTCGCTAACGAAAACAAAAACACAAAATCTGTCCAGACAAAAGATGCTTCAGAATCGTCATTGTGAGAGAGAAGACGAGAGCATTTTTTAATGTTTCGGCAAAAGGAAAAATAATAGCACATGGTCACCATTATTTTCAACTCAGTAAACACAGCAAAACCACAGCTTTCACCTCTCTGGTTTTTAGTGAGGGTTTTTTCTTTGCATCCGTGCAGGGAAAGAAAAATCACCTCATTACAGAACAGCATGAGGACAGGAGGAAAGAGGGAAGAGGTGGGGTGGGGTTTCACAGAAGAACACATCCACTCTCGCTTTCCCGGGAATCCACGCTTGGACCCGACGCTGCTGTGATGTCAGAGAAAGGGGGAGGGGCAAACTACGCCTTTGTTTCTTTGTTTGTTTTGAATACGCAATTAACATTGTCATATCCATCACCATGCTAAAATCTTCAGAGAGTTGTCATGATTGAATTATTAATTTCCAAAATGCCCTGCTGAAAAGACCAATTTAGACAACCTAAACTGCTCATTTTGGCAGGTTACAGATGCCAATTAAAATTCATGACTCATTTCAACAAAACTGCATTGAATGTTTTACAGTCTACATCCTCTTGGCTATTTTAAGTTTAGAGAGAAAGTGACTGAAATCAACAGAAATGCAGTCTGAAAGAGTGAGTGTGTCATATTGACCTGTAATCTGTGCCCTCCACTGGACTCCATATGTATGTCCTCTGGACCTCATCAATGTAACGCTGAAAACACACACACAAAGAGCAGCACATCACCAACCAGTCATAAGATCATCACACTGTATGTCATTATATCTAATAAGAGGTCATGTGACTCACCTCATCCACAGACTTCACCAGTGTCCTGATTCTCCTCTGTCCTGCTCTGCCATCAATCATTTGACGGCGGATCTACAATAAGATAAAAACAAGATCATTCTCGGATTGTAAACACATTGAAGGGATTTAAAGATTATTTAAAATCAAGCTATGACTTTCTCAAGTCGCTGTAAAATTTTCCAGGTACACTACTGTTCAAAAGGTGAGATTTTTTGGAGGTTGGTAAGATTTTTTTTTTTAATGTTTTTGTCTTTTATGCTCACCAAGGCTTCATTTATTTTAGCAAAAATACAGTAAAAACAGTGACACTGTGAAATATTATTACAATTTAAAGTAACTGTTTTCTATTTAAATATATTGTAAAATGTAATTTATTTGTGTCATGCAAAGCTGAATTTTCAGCATCATTACTTCAGTGTTACATGATCCTTCAGAAATCATTCTCACATGCTGATTTGCTGCTCAAGAAAAAGTTCTCATTTTTTTCAGTGTTGAAACCAGCTGTGCTGCTTGACATTTTTGTGGAAAATGTGATACATTTTTTATTTCATTGTAACAATATACATGTTATTTCTGCCACTTTTGATCAAATTAAAGCATCCTTGCTGAATAAAAGTATTAATTAAAAATCTTGATCCCAAACAAGTGAGTAAGTGAACTGGGAATTTTGTTCCAAGACCAAAAAACGCTCTTCATCCAGAAGCACGTCCTACTTGGCTAAACTCGGCCATGTTGTCTGATGAGTAATTTAATGACATTTTAATAATGTATTTGGCACATTTGCAAGGAAAACTCATTGTAGAGATGTTCACCTCCTCCTTGTTGCGATCTGGAAGTTCAGCATCCAAGAAGTCCAATGTGACCGGCTCTCTGAAGTTAATGATCTACACAAATCCATTAGGAAAAAATTATTATTGTTATAGAGATAAACATGCATTAAAAATGGAAGGTAGAAAAGGAAAATAACTACATTTTGGATTAAATTTAAGTCTATAAACAAGTGACAAACTCAAATGCTTTTCACCTTAGGCTGTAGGTTGGGGTGCAGCAGCACATAGCCATTGGGATCTATGGCAAACGTGTAACCATTGGCTCCAAGCTGTGTACAGAGATGCACATTATTGACTGATGATCGAAAATAAAAATAACTGAAAAAGAGATTTATTTGACTTACCTTATATCTTGGTGTGAGTTCTTTAATTTCATTGAGGGCGATGTCTACACCCATGACACCAAGATTCAACTGATTCTGCAATAAAGAAACCAACAGACTGAAAAATACAACAAACGACCACAAGGGGGCAGAATTGATATTTAACAAAACTACAGGTAATATAACAGTCAAATCAAACGGTCAAAAACAATTGGATTAATGCTTGGAGAGTGAACTGTCAAACAAGCACATTTCTCCATTTTTATGTTATACATAATGTTGAGTTGTTGTATCATAGTTATCATTACCATTGTCAATGTCAAAAAAAAGTATAGCTTTGGTAAGAAAGCATCTGCTTAGGACATAAATTGAAGAGCAAATAAAGTGAGAAGCGAATGTGCCTCCAGGAAAAATAACTGATATGTGACGACAGGCAGTGTGTTGAATTATAATGCGCTCTGCATTTATCAGTCACACTGGCAGGACAGTTGATCATCTAATGGAAAGGTTACTCATCCATCAATGCATCAATGCACAAATTAAAGATGTGTGCAAACACTACTGATGCAATTCTGAACCATCCAGCCAAACAGACAATGTTTAAAATACAGTTTACCTGGAAATATAAGTCATGGAACTGATGGCATCTTCATTCAAGGCAATTATAATAAATACATATTACATATAGGCTAGAAAACCCAAATTCTGTTAATAAATGTTAGTTAATCTTTCCTTTCCATTAGTGTATATATATATATATATATATAATAGCCTGGAATGAATGGAAATGTTAATTTACATTTATATATTTATTTATATACACCCACACCCACATATACATATATATACTGTATATATATACATATATTAAAACCAAAATTTTGTAAATAATCAAAAAATTATTTAGATCAGCACGCTAATTATGGACATATTTTGTTAACATTTGACAACAAGAAGGTGGCCAAATGTAAAATACTAAATACTATAATTATTTTATTTTGATTAAAAAAACAAAATAATCAAAATATTTATGTACAGAAATTGTCCAAATTCTGAAAAAATTATTAAACATATATGCTGAAATATACTGTTCAATAAAAAAGTTCATTAAAACCTTTTAGACGGTTTGTGAAATGGTTTGCCTGATAAATGTGATTGTGTAACTAAACAACATTCATACAGTTGAACTGCAGTATTGTTTAAGTGTTCAAATAAAACTGCATGCACTATTTATGATATTAAACTTCAAACCGAACTTTGAATCACACTCAAACGCCCTTGTGCGTCTTCAAAGTCAAGCCCTATTCAATATGCACTCAACACGATTGTGAAACATGCCGCTCTCAAACAGTTTGTCAATGTCAGTTAGGGAACATGCTAAGAATTAGAACTGGAATGTGATCATCACACTAATAATGCAAAAACTCCATAATGCAACATTTGTATCGTCCTGCGGGGGTACGAGAAACAAATGACTAGTTGTTCATTTACAGGACTCTTCTCACGACTTACTTTGGAGTCTCCGTCAGTGGTGAGATTGAAGACTGGCATTGTGCCGGTAATGACGAGCCCCAAACCCTGTAAAAAACAAAACAAAAACATACACTGCCATTTAAAATGTTTGTTTTTATGGCTGTGAACTAAAAGAAGGTCACAGTACACTGCACGCATGAATAAAAGGCTGCCGCATAAAAAAAACGCCGTCCAACTCGTAGTAAAATTATATGGTCAATGACAAAGCAAACGAGCTGTGGAGATTCAAATTTGTGCATTCTGGAAAGAAAACAAAGAATGAACAATATCACAGTCAGTGGCCGCCTCTAACAATCCAATCTGAAACAGTTTCTCAGTCTCAAATCAATGAATAGCGGCATGTGTCTGTGTGTTTCAGTGTTTCCTAAGGATGTAGTTCTTGCAGCGGGGTGCGGTAAACCCCTAATGCGCTAAACAATAACTAATAGCATTTCTTCAACAGTTTATAAACAAAACACTTATTTTAATAGAACTCTGTTGTGCATATGTATATTTAAGTACACTTTGTCCAACCAGTCAGTAAGCAGACTTAAAATAAAGTTTTACTAACCTTACAAATGAACATTTATCTCAAAAAGTTTATGACTCAGACTTAACATAACACCTGAGTCATTCAGTGAGTGAGTCATCCAAGCTGATTCACTCAGAAAGTGAGTCATCTGACTGATTCAGACTGTTCTATTCCGATTGAGTCACTAATAGGTGAATCATTCGAAAGAATCGCACCAATCAGTGGATTTATTTGTGAATTAAACAGCCTGCTGTGCAATAGAAATGCAATAAAATCCAACTTTTTATTGTCAATATGCTATTTTGCAGTTCTCATCCTAAAAGTGTGCAACGATTCCTATTCTAAGCTATATTTCATCCAGAGATGTGTAACCTAAGGGTATGTTTATTCAACAATGTTGTACTAAAAAGAGAAACGTTTTGAGTGTCAAAACAGGCCCCGTTAACACAGATTCCATAGAAACGACTAAAAATGCTGTATTATGAATGCCAGGCCAGAAGTTGGCAGTCACTTCATAAAAAAACACTGCGCACATGTGCACATACCTACAGACACGCAATATGCATACGACATCACCATTTTAACAAAACAGTATAGTTTTCAAAAACGTGAGCCGTTGTTCTGTAAATGAACGTCCAAAATGCATAAAAAAGTGTTTGTTTTTAGTTGAAAATGCTGTTGTGTAAACGCCCCTTTAATCAGGGGTTCTCGAGTAAGGTCATAGAAATATTAATATCTACTATTGATTACGATATTAAAATAGATGTTTAATTTAACTGCATTTTTCTGCAAGATAAACACAAGCATTTCATAAACAAACACTCAATTCAAGTGGGCTCAGATTCTGTGCAGGCTGATCGAAATTATACAGTGCAATTTTGAGTTGATGATGATGATGATGATGTTGATGGAAATCTTCCATACCAGAGCATCCTGGTAAACATTGGTCCACTGCACTTGTTTAGCCCGTTCACCTGCCAGCACCATTGGCCGTCCAAGAACATCCAAATACTCCTGATAACAAAAAACACACAAAGAATTCAACACACATATCACAAGAACTGTAGTGCAGCTCAGTTTTACAACAAACACGACCAGGAGCACCAATCGAAACGATCCATTCTCAACAGGTTACGACTAATAACACTCTGAGCTCTGAAAGTGCGACACTAAAGGCATGAGTCCACACCTCCCTCTGTCATAAAGCAAACGACTGCGACTCGCCGCTCCATTACATAAAGCACGCTGTTAAAAGCGTCCGCTCGAGGGGCCAGTAAAGCCAGCTGCACAGAGGCACTTCCAGCCGTAACAAATCATCATAAAGCAGCTATTAAAGCATATTACAGCTGCTAGAAAGCACATTCTCGCTCCGGAGGGGTAGGGTGGGCTGCCACAGGACGGCACTTGTTGGGTCGCCGTAAGCACACGTTTATAAATGACAATTCTGTTTTCAACACAACACTCTTTGGGAGGTTAATCATTCAAAGAAGTGAACCTCACCAAAACTGTCTGAAAGAATGGGGTCAAAAAAAAAAAAAAGGAAAGGAGGCTTATTGTAGGAAAAAAATGTTTTTTTAGGGGGGGGGGGGGGCATATATACATATATTGATAATATATATTATATAATTATATATATATATATATATATTATAGATTATTACTATCTATCTATCTATCTATCTATCTAGGCATATGTAGTTTTAATATTTATTTATTGTGAAGCCATGTGTATATTATATTTTTAAAGGGGTCATATGATGCAATTTCAAGTTTTCCTTTCTCTTTGGAGTGTTACAAGCTGTTTGTGAATAGATAAGATCCCTAAAGTTGCAAAGACTAAAGTCTCAAATCCAAAGAGATATTCTTTATAAAAGTTAAGACTCAATAATTTTTACTTTCTCAAAAAACT